GTATTGATTTTTTTTATAGAATAATAAATAAAATTTTTAATAGTAATATATTTATGATTAAATAACATAACTAAAAGAAAATTAGTATAATAAAAGAAAAAGACAACAAAAAGACAAAAATACAAAAAGAAAACAAAAAAGAAATGATTATATAAGAGGTAGGAATGCCATTAGCCTTCTCCAAAATTTAGAGTACTTTGGTTTGAAGGATTTAAATGCATTAGGAATTGAATTTCATTTCAAACCTTCGTTTGATTTAACAAAAAGTCCAGAATTAAAACATTGAAATTTCAATAAAATCCCATAAAGCATAGTATTTAGTAGTCCCATAAGGGTTGTTGGTTCTCATGGGATTTTATATTATTTATTTGTAAAATTGTTTTAAAATATGTTAAAATATTTGTTTTGTAATAATTTAACCAATTAATAAAAGGTAGTATAATTATTTTTGTAATGGTTTATAATTTTTTAAATAAAATATCTGTAAATAATAAAATTTAATTCCATTCTAAATCTACAAACTTACTTGAGTAGATTTAATTAGAAAAAAATTTAAGAAACCCAATGGACTTTAGTGTTTTGAATGATTAAGTTATTGGACAATTTTTTTGAACAAATAAGTAACTGGACATTCCAAAACCTGTTAAATATTGTCAGGGCCGGTTCTAAGATTTTTGATGGCCTGTGCGAAAATAATAAAAATGCCCCTAAGCCTATTTTTTTAAGCCGATGAAACAACGAAACATGCGATTTAAAAAAAAATTAGAACCTATTCAAGCTAAGTATCTCATCATTATGTTGATTTTTATTAATTATAAAAAAAATACAATGGAGGGACATAAAAACCAAAATTCCGAATACAAAATATAAAATGATAAAAAGATAAATTCTGGATTAAGATCGTACTTTCTTCTTTTCCAGTTTTCTCTTTTCCAAATTGAAATTAGTAAAATAGAAACTTTATTTCAATATACGAGACTTAAAAGACAAGAAAAATTACAATCAGTTCTTAACTAAAATAGTAAATTACATCTAAATTACTATCATAGTAAGCAACAAGTAAAACTCAAAAGTTACAGGTCTAACGACTAAAGGTTAATGGCCTATTTGTTAGCAGCTTAATAAGTTTAATGGAACTAACATCTTATTTACTCAACTATGCATGACTGTTTCGTAGTGACTTAATGATATAGAAAGTGAATTATTCAGTAAGTTTCCAGGAGGGGCTTTATATAGAAAGCCAAGTTTTTTTTTCAAACATGTTCCTTCTAACTAAAAAACGCTCCTTACATCTGAAAAAAAACTCTCTCAAATAAAAACTTTTCCAACGATGTGCATTCAGTATTCATCACTACTAGGCCTTGGGCATGTTTTTATAGTTAAAACTCACTTGTACAATTTCTAAATTATTAAACTCCAAACTAGTAATAAATAACAACTTGATGCCCTTTTAGGCTTTGATGCCCTATGCGACCATACGGGCTGCACGTGGCCAGGGCCGACCCTGAATATTGTAATGTGAAATCGATAACTTACTTAAGTAGATCTAATTAAGGTATAATTCGTGTAAAATTTGGAATATATCGTGTTTTTTTCTCTTAATATTTGCAATGAAAAACTTGTGTTCTTTTTTCCTCTCGATGTCATAATTATAATACAACATAAATGCATAAAATATTTGTGTGTGTGTGTTTTTATGGTGAATAAACGTGTCGAATGAAAGCTGAGGTTTGGTCATTGACCGACAAGTGGTCAACGACAAATATTTAAGATTAAATTACAGTTTTTGTCCTTGTGATTTGCTGAAATCATTACTTTTCGTCCTATGCATATATACATTATGTCATGGTACGGCACATGAAATAAAATGATGAGTATAAACTTCAATTGGGTTGTTTACTAAATGTTTAATACATAAGTATTTATCGTAAAAATGTGACCTTTATTTGCTTTATCAAATAAAATTTACCGTCATCAATATCGATTGTTAATAAGCATCTTTTATCAGTAAGTGCTTAGAATAGCCTTTTTTTTTATAATACTCGACTCATTGGAACAAAAAAAAAATGAGTTATAGCTCTTTTTTTGGCTTATTTTTAGCTAAGAAGGGCAGCTATCCGTATGTGCCCCAAAATGACATCCATTTATAGGTAATGGGTACACTTGAGAAAAAAGGTTTGGAATTCAATCTTCCCTTCCTGCTTTATTGCCACTGGAGGTCTTGTGAAAAAGTCCTAATGACTAATGGAAGGAAGCGAGCTCCTAATGTATGGACATAATCCTAACAAGAGTTTAGCAACCTTGAATCTCTTAAAAAGTCTTCAGTTCATGGACTTCTAGAAACAAAAAGTATTCAGCAGCTTAGCTCAATATGTCTTTCAGAAAGCCGAAAACCATCAAATCCCTGCTGCATGAATGTTATAGCACCAAACAGTCTTGCATTTTTCTCTCTTCATATTAGACTTCTAATTGTATAAAAGACAGGTAAATCACATTTTTAGCTCCATAAATAATAAAGGGAAAAATGAAGTAATAAAATGACTCAAGATTGAGATAAAAAAAACTAACTATAAACTTATAAAATGAATGCTCCAGACATCGAATTCTCGATGTACATCACACCTCCAAACTTAAAGTGTTGCTTGTTCCCAAGCAACCAAAAGACAAACAAAAGGACTCAATTTGGAGTGATATGCATGATTATAGCATTAGGTGCATACACAATGTAGAGTATACCAAATATGAAGTTCATAGTCCTTCATAAATCCTTAGTGAGTAACTCAAAACCAAGTTGTTTGTATGAACCATAAGCTAGCATTACCCGTCTCTTTGTTAAGCTCAACACAATCTTCTTTTAGGATCATTAAGGCTTGTAGGGTCACTCCATTGGCATTTCTTTTTCTCTCTTAGCCTTTTTCTTTTTGTACTCCAACATTCAATTTTTGGCACTTTGTGCTCTTTTTGTTGGAAGCATGCACGTATCCCCTATGTAAATTTTGTTGTGCTTTATACAATTTCCAAAATAAGGAATCAATTTAGAGCTTTTGCTCTTTTTGTATTTTATGTTTTTTCTCCTTATAGGATAACCTTCCCTCAAACTCAATATAACAATGTCCTCATTGGTTTTATGAGGTATTATAGTGTTTAAGGGTGCAAGTGGCTAATGTTGAACAACAAATGAAGGCCTATGTCATCCCCTAAATAGGTGTAGATTGTGTGAGCTAAGTTATGACCGAAGAAGAATTTTGTTAGTTCTAGCAAGAACAAAATGACCTAGGTGAGTTAATAATTAACCAATAAATTATTTGGGCTATGAACTCAAAGGCAACAATCTTCACATCATGCAATCATGCAAGAAAATAAGATTAAAACCATTTAATACTATCTCAGACTCTAAAAAGGAAAAATATGGAGGCTAAAGGCAATGATTTAAACATGTCCTATTCCCTAGGAGTAGGCTGTGAAGGTTGTGAAGCCGCTGTTGGTGCTAATGTTGCATCCTTAATCTTCTTGTATTCCTCTCCAAGCTGCCCATACTCTTCAAATAGCCTATGATTCTCCACCTTGATGGCCTTCAGAATTTTTTCATGAAAGTTTATGTGCTCACCTGTTATGAGACTAAACAAAAGAAACAACCTTTCCACATTAGTTGAGATGTCATGAGTAGTCGATGATAAATAATGTCTAATAAAGCTTATCCAAACATTCTCATTGGAGGACAAATTGGTACCTTAAAGGTTTTCAACATGAAATGAGTTCAAGGCTCCCAATCAGTCTCAGGAATTCCAAGGAAAGTCATGATCTCAACCAAATGTGCTTCAGAGGTCGTGTGCAAGAATGCATCATTCTCAGAATCTATGTGAGATGAGAGACCGAACAATTTATTTATGGTTTTTTCAAAAGTAGACATCTTTCTTTGTAGCTCTATAGATGTGAAATTATTGTCATCTTGGATGATTTAATGTTGAGAAATAGAGAGACTAATCCCTTTAAGGTTAGCACTGGTCTATCCTAAGGTTTCGTGTGCAACTTCAACATATCTACTAACATCTTTTCTTGATGCAAATCTAGGGTAGATGATATGATGACAGACAATTTGTCTTGTTCTCCTAGAAAAGCATACTTCAAATGAGATAAGAGTTGTTTCAACTCCAGGTCATGTGGTGATATGACAGACGGGGTAAAGTTCTTTTACTCATTATTTTCCAGCAGCTCAAATGCAGCAGCATCCAGTGGGACATCATTCCCTATTGACACTAATTCCTCAAAAGTCTCTTCCTTTATTACCTCATCATTATTTTCTTTCAACTCAAGGGATTCCTAGACTCCTTTTTCATGACACATTGATTCTATTTCATAAATTCTTGAACGATCTTCCAAATAGTCAGGGTATTTCAAAGAATTGAAAACATTAAATGTGACTTTTTGGTCCTGAAGTCTTATAGTCAGCTCTCCTTTCTGGACATCTATCAAAGTTCTTATGGTGGCTAGGAATGGTCTCCCTAAAATGATAGAAATCTCCTTATCAGACTCAAAGTCTAAAATGATAAAACTGCCGAAAATATGAACTTATCAACTTGCGCTAAAACATCCTCAATCTTTCCCTTAGGGTATGCAATAAATTTGTTGGTCAATTGAAGTGTAACATTGGCAGGTCTAGCCTCTCCTATGCCTAAGGTGTTGAAAACAGATAAGGGCATAAGGTTGATACTTGCACTTAAGTCACACAAACCTTTCCCAAACTCCTTCCCACCTAAAGGTGGTTGAGCAGTTTGAAAACTTCGGTGATGATTTTGAGAACTGCTTACATGTTGTTGGGTTAAAAATTAGAGATTCCTTGCTGCTTAGGTGGGGTGGATTTAAACATAGAATGTTCCAAGAAAAATTCGGGTGTTGTTTCCAACTTGCATTGTAACTGTTGGTATAGGGACCAGATCCATTATGAGCATAGTTTATGGATTCAAAATTATGAGGACAATGTTCATAAGAATGTTTTCCATCATAGCAAACACATTGCACTGAGAGGATGGCTGAAATAGGTTTAGTAGTAGCAGGTTGCACTCCTTGGCTAGAAGTAAGATTTTTAAGCATGGTAGCCATAGAAGTGAATTGTGCTGTTAATGCAGTGTATGCAGATTTTTAAACATGGTAGCCATAGAAGTGAATTGTGCTGTTAATGCAGTGTATGCATCTATATCATGAATTCTAGTTGTCTTCTTTTACGATTGAGCACGTAGATCAGCCCAACGTCCATTGTTTGTAGAAATCTTTTTAAGGATTTCATACCCGTCATTATAGGTACTAGCTGTAAAGGCCCCACCTGCAGTCGCGTCAAGCATCTGTTTAGCCATGAGTGTTAACATATTGTAGAATGTCTCGAGTTGAATACAGTAAGGAATGTCATGGTGAGGGCATTTTCTTATCAGCTCTTTGAACCTCTCCCATGCATCAGGAACAACTTCAACGTTCAATTGTTTAAAAAGAAAGATTTTATTTTACAGAACCTGGTGGTAATAAATTCAATCATGATTTAAACAATAACTCCCTTCCGAACATAACTTACAACTTTCATCGTACTGTGCTCTCTAAAGAGCAATTGAACAATCTGGAGCAATTTACTTACTTTACTTGGTTGACATTAGGCAAATCTTTGTCTGTTAGGTAAGAGGATAACAAGTTATAAATTCTGTCTCGGTAGGACATGTATCTCTGCTCTTCTTGAACGAATATATTTCTATGGAAAATGAAGCACTCTAGTTAATCTAAAATAGAACCTGGAATCTATAGTTCACATTTTTTTTCCACCAAGAACGTTTTATAAAACTTTTTGACCCCTGGGCCTTTTTATTTATAATTTATCATAAATGAGTGAAGCATTACACATAACATTCTTGTCCCCCATCAACATATTTTTTTTTTGTTTTACGCGCCCGTAACTCTTCCTCAGCCACAACCTTTGGCAACATCCACTAATTCGGAGCTTAATTTGACTTCTCTATGAAAAAAGATGAATCGAAGTTTGAAGAGGGGTAAGAAAAATGAGCCCTCGAACCGCAACAGATTGCTCGATCCCGTAAATAAAATGGAAACAAAGTAAGTCTTAAAGCATCGTTAGACACTCCCAGGATCAAGAAGGAATCAGTGTTTTGCATGAAAGATTTAAGATATGAGTGAGAATCTTTCGATGGCAATCCATCAAATTTGTTGACTAGAGCTCCATAAAATAAGCAAATATTATAGGATTGACTCAAATTGATTCTATCCTATCGTACTTATCTTTTCCATAATTATAGGATAGTTTCCTTATGTATTTCTGTTTCCTCCTGTATATATATTGGGTCTCATAATGAAATCAATAAGACCGTAAAAAAAATATTAAGCAATCATCTCTTCTCTTTGTTTCACATGGTATCAGAGCGAAAAATCTCGAACCCTTCATAAACTCGTAAAACCCTCACCATGAGCGAAAAAGAAGCCCCTCCTGTCATTGTCCAGAATGTACAGGATGCACCATTCCCATCCGGAATCATCTTGGATGATAAGAACTACCCGTTATGGTCGCAACTTATGGAGATGCGAATTGGAGCAAGGAACAAATTAGGGTTCCTCACAGGTTCCACCCCGAAACCGAAAGACGAAAAGAAGATGGAAGCCTGGGTCATTGATAATCATCGTGTCAAGAGTTGGCTCATTGATTCAATGAGTCCGCAATTGATGCAACGCTTTATCAGACTTCGGACGGCTAAAGAAATCTGGGAAGCCGTTGCCAAAACCTTCTATGATGGTACAGACGAAACACAATTATTCGAACTAAATCGGAGATCGTTTAACACACGTCAAAACAGAAGACCCTTATCTGCTTACTACAACGAACTGGTAAGTATCTTTCAAGAAATTGACTCTCGTATTATGAATCAGGAAGAAAATGTGAATGCCGTTGTATCCCTTCACAATCCGGAATTTAATCAAGCGCGAAGTGAAATACTGAGAAAGGACCCGCCTCTTGACCTGGAATCAAGCTACGCATATGTCCGAAAGGACCAAAATCAGAGACAYGCTATGGAAGAACCCAAGTCGGAACCCGATGCCATAGTTCACCTGACCACTCGAAGCCGTCAAAAAGGAAAAAACAGCAACAGTAAAGGTAACACCCTTACTTGTACTCATTRTGGGGAAGACGGACACTCCAAACAACGGTGTTATGAAATCATTGGMTATCCAGACTGGTGGGATTTCTCAAAGAAACCAAGAAAGAAAATAGGACAAGCCAGCGTTGCTGCCACCGAAAAAATCGAGGAGCCTTCTACTCCTGTTGCAGCTCATGTTGAAAAGAATACATCTGGTATGTCAAATATTGATCACTCTMAAAAAGGATCTTGGATTATTGATACAGGGGCAACTGATCATATGACAAATGACTCATCTCAACTGATATCTATGTATTCCCCTATGCAATCCGATATTCTTACTGCCAATGGGGGAATAGCACGGGTAACATATGAAGGACCAGCGAAATTATCTAGTTCCATGAATCTAGACACCGTCCTTGTTGTCCCCTCTCTGTCTTCAAGCCTCTTGTCTGTTAGTCAGATTACAAAAACTTTGAATTGCTTTGTGACTTTTTGGCCTGATGAGTGTATGTTCCAGGATATCACGACACATCGGATTCTTGGCTATGGTATTAGACGGGGAAAGCTATATTATCTTGAAGAACATCGTGGTGAGGCTCTCAATACTGAAATAAGCAAAGGAACTAAGACGTTAGCATGGTTGTGGCATCGACGACTAGGACACTTGTCCTTTGGTTACCTTAGAAAATTGAAACCAAGTTTATTTTTTAATACACAAGATTTTGAGTTTAAGTGTGATATATGTGAGATGGCGAAAAACCATAGAATTTCTTATGCTCCTAGTTATAATAAAAATTTGGTTCCGTTTATGACTATACATTCAGATGTATGGGGCCCGGCCCGAAGTGCAACACCAAACGGTGCTCGGTATTTCGTAACTTTTATTGATGAATGCACTCATATGGTTTGGATTTCTCTCCTAAGACATAAATGAGAAGTATGTCAAGTGTTTCAGGAATTACACCGAATGGTGAAATCACAATACAATTGCAATATTCAGGTTCTCCAATCAGACAATGGGGGAGAGTACATAAATCATGAGATGCACCAGTTTTGCAAGGCCAACTCCATCCGACATCAAACATCATGTGCAGGCACACCCCAACAGAATGGGTTGGCAGAACGAAAAAACCGACAATTATTAGAAATTGTCCGTGCCTCGTTATTTGACATGAAAGTTCCACATGAATATTGGGGTGAAGCTGTCCGATCAGCAGCTTACCTCATAAACAGAACCTCGTCTCGGGTCATCGACTTTCAAACCCCTCTTCAGAAACTTCACGGGCTTGTTTCAGCACCCATGAGTCCAAATCTTGAACCAAGAGTGTTTGGATGTACATCGTATGTACACCAAAACACAGGGAAATTAGAACCAAGGGCTGTTAAATGCGTGTTCCTCGGATATGCGGACCTCAAAAAAGGATACAGATGCTATGACCCCAAGGAACAAAAAATGCATGTCACCCGTGATGTAGTGTTCCATGAAAACACCCCATTCTTTGGCCACGAGTGTTCTCTTCAAGGGGAGAACATAACAAATACGTATGAAGAAAACACCCGTGACCACCTTGGAAGAAAATATTGAAGAAACCCTTGATGAACCAAACAACGAGACGAGAAGCCCAATGGATCAAAGTGATGAACAAGTCAACGAAACAGGAAGCTCAACTGTTGACGAGAATCTCACAAACTTGGAAGAAGATAATATAGCTTCCCCAAATACTCCTGAAAGTACGGTGACACCCCAGGTAACTACCGACCCTACTTCGTGTGATACGACTAATCCTTCTGTCTTGCAAGGAAATGAACCGAGATACCCAGCTAGACAAAACAGGGGAATTCCGAAAAGACAATACCAACCTGACCTCAATGCTAAAGCGAAATACCCTATCAACAACTATGTGTCATCACATCGGTTGTCTGAATCCCACGCACTTGCAGTAAGCCAACTAAC